TAACGATATATCGTGACACTTTCTCCCGCGATCGATTATCGATATGCATTTGCCAAGTATCGATTTTGAAAAAAAAAATATATATATATATATATTATTATTATTTTTTTTTAAAATTAGTATCAATACTCAATATATGACTAAATGACAAATCTCCATTTAATTTATCATGAAATAAAGTGTATTTTTTCACGTAACATTTTTCTTTTATTTATGCCATAAATTGGCATATGGTATATTTATGACCATTATATATATATATTGATAATCGTCATATTGATATATAATCGTTATTGTGATATAATCGTTATCGTGAGCTTTGAATCGCATATCGTATCATATCGTGAGGTACCCTGGGGTTCCCACCCCTAATCCCCACGCAACCTTCAGAGAGAGCCTTATGACGGCTGTAAACCAACTTGTAACTCAACGTTTGGAACAGTGATTGTAAATAGATTCCACATCATGTAAACTGTAGAAGTTTAGGCCAATGTGACTCAAAATACTGAATCTGTGAAAACCTTTGTGACGCTTTGGGAAAAAAAGGACTCCCCGAAAAGCTCTGTAATGCTTATTATTGGGGTCTCGCATTTTATGATGAAATTTCCCCACTGTGGGACGAATAAAGGATCTCTTACGTAACAATACTAGGATTATTTTTGCATTCAAATCTGCACCAAATCAACAATATCTTCATTTTTTGTAAGTAAGTAATCGACCAGCCACAAAGCGCTTTACAATTGTTTTTTTTTTTGGTATTTTGTCTCTCACTCCACACAGAGATGGGAGCGGGGTCGCCAGTACAGGAGGCACATGCCAGAACTATTGTACATGTTTTTAGTGGTAGGGGAATACCGGAAGAAACCTATGCAGACACAGGGAGAACATGCAAACTCCAATCAGAAAGGCCCCGTTTTGACCGGGATTCGAACCCAGCACCTTCTTGCTGAGAAGCGAGAGTGCTATCCACTCAGATATTGTAGTTTATGTTTACTGTTTGGGTGAAAAGTGTAAAGATGCAAAAGCAAAGGAGCACGTCTGCACCTCCCTGTGTCCACACCTGCCTCGATCACGCAGATGGGTCCGTGTATTTTTTGTTCAATTGTTTTTTCAAACTAAAATTGAAAATGAAATATCAAAAAATGGTTTGAATTTTCATTTTTCATTTTGATGAGGAAAAGGAAAAACAAAAAATTGGCTTGATATTTGATATTTTGTTTCGATGCAAAAAAATGAAAACACGAACTATTGAATAATGCTTTCATGCCGATTTGATTTCATTTTTCATTTTGGCGCAACCGGAAGTGTGCGCCAAAGCCCGTTCACCCCATTATTTTCGTCCGGTTTGAAACAGCAGAAAGCAGGTGCGTGCACGAGGAACAGAACAGAAACAGCTGATATGGTCCTGTCCTGATCATTTACAGATTTGCGGGGATGACTTCAACAGAGGTAAGTAATGTTTCTGTTTTGTATGATATTTAGACCAAATCAAGGTGTATATTTTCCAAGATGTGATATTTCAACAAATGTAAAGCGAAGTGAATTATCAAAAGAACGTTTGAAAGGGGAATAAAAAAAGTGTCTTATGTATATATAAACGTAAGCCTAACTGTAATAATACAATTCCACAGATAGAAATGCTTCTATGACAAGCCAAAATCATCTTTTCATTGGGCCTTATAAGGTTATTGTAGCATGAGACTTTTTGTTGTATATTTACTACTCATAAACATAAATCAGTGAAGTCAATTTTGCAGCTAACATTAGCAACATTATTATTCCCATAGAAAATACAGCATAATTACCACTGTTACTGTTTTTTATTAGTGTTATTACTGACACTAGTCTGCTCCTAATACTACACAAGTTGTCTGTAGGTATAAAACTATAAGATAAACTGTTCTGATAAATTCAAAATATTTTTTCATGGCTCACATGAATGAAGTTTGTACAAAACATACATTCCAGAATGGTGACATCTAATTCTTTTTGCTTTTCCTTCTAGAACTCCAGTCAAATCTGAGTTTCTGAGAGCAGTGACTCTGAAAGGGGAAGAGGAGGAAGAGGAGCAGCCAGGAGAGTCTAGAATAAGAAGAGCACGACCTGTTGGTTATAAAGAAGCCCGCTTTATTCGTCCCACAGTGGGGAATTAAAACAAAAATGCAACTCATCACCACTTTAGAAACAAGTCTTACTTTTATTTCAATGTTTGGGAAAAAATGTCTAAAAAATCTGACATAATATAAATAAATGTGCTGTGTCCATCTTTGATTGCTGTCCTCTGTTCAGGGACCAGATATCAAGTTCTAGAAAAAGAAATAAAAATATATTTTATATCATTGAGACTCTTTTCACATTTGATTATCATCACTACCTGTCCTCTGTTGTGTCTGCTCCAGTTCATCTGCAGGAGGAGGGATGATGGGGACCGGACCCGGGGCCTGGGGTCATGAGCCCCCAGCAGAGCTGAGGTGCTGGTCTGGGATAGAGCTGTAGTCTTTAGTCTCCTTCACAGTGCACACTGTAACGCTGAGACTTTTTGCTGTAGACTCGTTCATGACTACAAATCATTAGTGTAGACATCAGTACAAATAATATATTTCTTTATCATCAAGATACAGTATGAAAGCAATTAAGTATGACTTACGATACTTGGCCTTCCCTGTTCACATGCACTGGGCGATGGTTATGGTGTTATTGTCTACTGCAGTGAGGAGTGTACAAGAAGACAAGAAATTACAGCATGTGTGAAAAAAGTTATACCATTTCACCACACAAAGAGAAAAAGTGACAATATCAGGTGACTTTATAAATGTGTAATGTTAATACAGACCATTAACTCCTCTCTGGGGCTTGTGTTCTGACAAGCATAACAAAAATGGTTAATGTCCTTGATCCATACAAGTATTGGCTTTTGACCAGAAACCATTCCAGCCTGTTGGAAGACACCACAGTTATTTAAATAAAAGTCTTACCAGACCTGGGTTATAGACACAATATAATATAATTCGACATACAGCACAAAGTTTCTTTGTTAGATTATTTGAGGCATGCCAGACATCGAGTGAAGGAATAATACCCTGATATCTGCCCTTTTCTGGATCTGTTCAGAACACAACAAAATAATCTTGTAACAAGTTGCAATTCAAATTAAAAACTCATAAGCATGTTATGTCAAATGCAGAGGATTGAATTGCCCTGCGGGGATCAATCAAGTGCACCTATACCTTTAATATTCCTTAGGCATAAGGGCAGCGATACTCGAGCATCAGTTACAATCTTTGCGATGTGCACCTCCTTTGTGAGTTTATCAAAGGTTTCGATAAAAAGCTGCCTTCTCCATGGCACCACTTTTACTGTCAACCCTTTCTTGGTCCACATTGACAACACTGATGATGTCCATGGTGTTTAGCTCCATTGTTGTGTATGTAAAGCACATAGTGGAGGGATCTTTTTGGAAAAAAAAGTTAGATAATGGGAAAATAATGAAAAACAAACATTCCAGCAAATCTATAATAATCAGATGTCCAAGAGCTTAGTGCATTACCTGGAGAGTCAGCTGTAACAGAAAGGCCTGTAAGGATACACTGTAGTGAATATGCTTGCTTACCAAGAGCAACTAATCTGTCGATCATCTCCTCCGTGCATCCCATGTTTCAGTTTTGGCTGTTCCAAACTATATGGACACAAAACAGTGTTAAAAAGAATGTAACTTCACACATACCATACACATACCATACTTGCTTTGGTAAACACATGTACAAAGCATGTACACATTGAAATACATTGAGAATAATGCAATAATAATAATGTCATTTACACATGATTGCCTGAATACTGGACATGTTTGTAGGGTTTCGTTGTTTAGTTAAGAAGGAGAGGCTCTCCTTCTTAACTAAGCAACGAGACCTTTGCTAAAGCTGTAGTTAGGTACTTCAGTTGTTTCTAAAATAGCCCCGTTTGTAAACAAAACGCTGCGCATCAGTTCATGTAGCATATCTAGCTAATGCTAGTTGTTGTGTTATTTCCTTCTAACACAGAGATCTAGCTGGGGTTTATTACGGCTGGTATTTTGGAAAAGGAGACATCCATGCCTCATTCTGTGCGTTTTCCACAATTAAAATGCAGCAAAACTCAGTTACTGGCAAAAGAAACAGCATTTTGCTACATAGCCTCGTGATGCACGGACCGCTGCGTTGAAAGCAACTAACACTACTTTTGCCCACACGTATTTAGAAACAACCGCCTTACCTGTCAAGCACTTTACTTTACTGTAGTTTGGGTCTGGGCTGGAGTTTCAGCGCTGCCTGAAGCCGGTCTCTTGTTATTCTCCACAGTATTCATCTTTCCAGAGCCACCTCTCTGCAGCTTCAGTAATGACAGATACAGCCAGCGCTGCTACAGCTAACGTGAACGTGCATGACGTCACGTGTTCGACCCATAGACTGTATGTTCGACCCGAAGACACACATTTCAGGCATATAGAGGCAATTGTGGTGAAAGCAGCCTCCGCCTATTTCCTCACATTTTCAGGTTAAGACTGAACCAGACTGAACCAGACTGAACTCACTTGAGGCCAGACTGCTTTCTGCTGTTTCCAGCCGGACGAAAATAATGGGGTGCACGGGCTTTGGCGCACAATTCCGGTTGCCCCAAAACGAAAAATTAAATAAAATCGGCATGAAAGCATTATTCAATATTTAATTTTTTCATTTTTTGCATCAGAACAAAAAATCAAATATCAAGCCAATTTTTGTTTTTCCTCTTCCTCATCAAAATTAAAAATGAAAATTCAAGCCATTTTTTGATATTTAATTTTGCATTTTCATTTGAAAAGACGATTGAACGAAAAATACACGGACCCAGATGTATGTAGATTTATTTAAGGAGTATATAATTGTATGTTTTTATGCATAAGTAGCGTGTAGGAGATTGTAGCCTCTGCTTGATTGTGTCCTACTGTGTTTCTGTCTCTGCACCTGATCTGTCCACACTGCGGATCAGAATATGATCTGGTTTCTGTTAAAAGCTATCGACCGCTCTCTTCCTGCAGCACAGGGCTCATGTCTCATCTCTGGGGGAGGCTCGGGTTTGTGGATCATTACAGGAGGAGACAGAGGCAGCACAGGGACGGGGGACTGAGACAGAGGCAGCACAGGGACACAGGACAGACTGAGACAGAAGAAGTACAGGAACACAGGACAGACTGAGACAGAGGCAGCACAGGGACACAGGACAGACTGAGACAGAAGAAGTACAGGAACACAGGACAGACTGAGACAGAGGCAGCACAGGGACACAGGACAGACTGAGACAGAAGAAGTACAGGGACACAGGACAGACTGAGACAGAAGAAGTACAGGGACACAGGACAGACTGAGACAGAGGCAGCAAAGGGACACAGGACAGACTGAGACAGAAGAAGTACAGGGACGAGGGAGGACAGACTGAGACAGAGGCAGCACAGGGACACAGGACAGACTGAGACAGAAGAAGTACAGGGACACAGGACAGACTGAGACAGAGGCAGCACAGGGACACAGGACAGACTGAGACAGAAGAAGTACAGGAACACAGGACAGACTGAGACAGAAGAAGTACAGGGACAAGGGAGGACAGACTGAGACAAAGGCAGCACAGGGACGAGAGACTTTGCCTGAAAATCTGATCCAAAAATCTGTAAAGGAACCAAAAAGTTTTGAGTGCAAGTAACTAGTTGGGTGAGTTAAGTTACTCTTGACAATGAACATAATATTGCATATTTTGAGTGAGAGAAAGGCCTTACAATATTCAGACAAAATTCTGTACAACAATAGAGGTTCTAAATGTGGAGTATTAGACCATCTCAATTCAATTTAATGTATTTGTGTTTAGCTCTAAATCACTATAGTCGTTATCTCTGAGGACTTTACAAAGCTGCCTATTCGCTAACACAGATCAAAGAATCAAACCCATAGAGCCATTGGTCCATACAAGACAGAGACCAATGTCCGTAAATGTTAAAAAAGACCTTAAATGTTGATAAATGTGGAGTCCTGGATCATGGCCTCAGTTCACTGTTGGGGCACAGCTTATGAGAGCAGACTGTAACATGATACCCCGTCATGAGAGAGGACCCCTGTGTCCTTGAGTGGGACAGCTGAGGTCTGAACATGATTGCTTTTATTGATGACCCTTGTAGCGGGACCTGGCCTTGGTCTAAGCAGCCCCACTTGGCCCTCCTCCACCTTGGACCTCTGCGTTAGCCGCATCATGCTGAGGGCACTTGTCTCGGAAACAGCCGGAGGAGTGCAGCAGCAGCGATGGCACGAGTCTAAATTAAGGCCACGGTTCACGACAAGCACTGCATTGTCATTCACAAAGAAATATTAGAGGTGACATGTCATTCCCCTCAGTGTATGTGGGTGGGGGCCTGTGGGTGGGGGCCTGTGGGTGAGGGCCAGTCATAGAGCTATTACTCATGAACTCAAATGGCGAGTGTATGATGTATATTTGTAAATGCTATGAAAAAACAAATGGACACAATTAGTCTGATACCAAAATTCCTACATATACTTATCATTCTATCCCGTCAGACCTCTGAAGCTAAGCAGGACAGGGCCTGGTTAGTACTGTGATGGGAGACCTCTGGGAACACCAGGTGCCACAGTGGGGCGGGTACAGCTGTAAAGTGCACAAACTGTGGTTGTGTCCTTAGGCAAGGAAATTCACCCACATTAGAATAAGTCTGGTGTGTGTGTGTGAATGGTTGGTGGTGGTGGGAGCAAGCCCCGGCGATCCAAGATGGCGCCCTGTTCAAATGAATGGTTGTGCTCAGTGGCGCTTTGTGACGGCATGGGGACTGAAAGATTAGCGGAAGTCGCCACAAACTCGCAAAGACCTATGGGAAACTCCCCTGTATTTGGGCATCGTCTGGTCCTCCCGGTTCTGCGCAGTGGATGATCTCCCATAATGCGTTGCGCCAAATACGCGTGTGTGGGTCTCACACCGGGTCTCACGCACGTGCACAGAGGGGCTCGGCCGCGCTCTGACCAATCAGAGCAGTTCATCAGAGCGGAAGTTAGAGCGAGAGCCAGACGAGCAGAGTTTGTGGCACTAAAGTGTGGATTTAAAGAAAACCGAAGGATTTAAGGTTTACTAGGGCAACTGCTGCTTTGTTAGCAGTTTATAAAGGTAAAGGTGCACTTTATTCCCCGTAGGGCAATTCACTCCTCTATGTTTGACCCATCCTGATGCCGCTAAGGCTCACGTCAGGAGCAGTGGTTGTAGTACAGCGTAGTACAGCGCCCGGGAACCCATCTCCAGATGTTAATGCTCGGCTTGGTCAGGACTACAGGAGCTGGAGGATTTAACCCAGTGTGCATGTTTTTAGTGGTAGGGGAAACTGGAATACCCGGAGGAAACCTACGCAAGCACGGGGAGAACATGCAAACTCCACTCAGAAAGACCCCGTTCCGAACGGGATTTGAACCCAGGACCTTATTGCTGAGAGGCGAGAATGCTATCACCACTGTGAAGCATTCTCTGCTAATTAAAGGTATATAGGAGGAGTTTCCCACATTTTAGGAAAGAACCGCCCTCTCCACTTTTTAAACAAAACTCTCTAGTCTTATTTGACGAGCACGTATCACCAGAATGATTGACAATTGGGAGGACCAATAGTCTTGATGATCCACTCGAAAGTAGAAAATCCTCCTATATAACACACACAGGGAAGCAACATCTTTCCAGTTAAAGTGAACTAGACCCAGTGTGAATCCATTGTCTCAGTTCTTAAACAGAGGCTTTAGTTCCTGCGGTACAACTCTTACACCCTACAGCAAGGACAATGGTGAGTGTTTTGATGAAATCTCACTTCCCTCGGGGCCTAGTGGAAAAGCTGATGATCTCAGTTGAAGCTGATGCTGAGGAGGAAAATGAAGGGTGACTGTGAAACGCAGCTTTAAACTGTTGAGTTAGAGCTGAGACGCAGAGGAGAGAAGCTTCAAAGACTGGACTGGATGATGCCACAGGTTAGAAGTAGCAAGGGCTGTGGACAAGGGAACAGTTTACCGACTTCTGTAAAAGAGGCCCCCAGTTTTACATAATTTAAAGGTCTCCGAAAAGAGTGGCTACGGTCATCGCAAACATGTGAGCACCATTGATAATGTTGAGTGGACATGTGTAGGATTTGTGTGTAAACATGTCAAGAGTAATATGTGGGTGATTGTCATTCAGGGATGTGTGCAATAATTGGATGTGTGCAATAACGGGGTGTGTGCAATGATGTGGACTATTAACGTTTGGACTGTGGCCTGTGGAACGCAAGCTCTGTCTTTTTCATTGTTGTTTCTAATCCTTGTGACCCGAGCCCCGTGTGACAAAGAAAGACAAAGACATATCCTTTGGCTAAAATCTAGCATGTTTACATTCATGTTTCTAATGTGTGTGTTTTCATTTAATGCACTGTCCCATTCAAATAAATAAATAAATAAATACAACTAGAAACTTGCAATGGCTGAAGCCATTGCGATTGACTGCGGAACAGATCTAATGTGGAAATCTGCTAAAAAAAATCCTTGAAATCCTTTAAAAGGCCTTGAAACTGTTAAAATACTTGATAGATATTTGAAACTCCTGAAGTCCTTGAAATTGTTGAAACCTTTAAACTCCTGAAATCCTTGAAACTGTTGAAACATTGAAACTCCTGAAATCCTTGAAACTTTTTTTAAACCTGGAAACTGTTGAAAGTGTGGAAACTCCTGAAATCCTTGAACCTCCTGATATCCTTGAAACTGGTTAAATTCTTAAACAGTTGAAATCCTTGAAACTACTGAATGTATTGAAAGTGTCCTTGAAACTGAAAAATCCCCTCACCGCTGAAACAATTTGGTTCCTGTAACTAAGGAAACCTGGTCTGTGGTCATTATCTGGTGGTGGTCTGAGTCTTCGTTTGGGTCTTGGTCTGGTGGTATAATGCAACCTATTAGGTTGCATTATACTGGTTTACATGGAAAAATCCCTATTAGGTTGCATTATACTGGTTTACATGGAAAAATCCCTATTAGGTTGCATTATACTGGTTTACATGGAAAAATCCCTATTAAGTTGCATTATACTGGTTTACATGGAAAAATCTCTATTAAGTTGCATTATACTGGTTTACATGGAAAAATCCCTATTAGGTTGCATTATACTGGTTTACATGTACAAATCCCTATTAAGTTGCTTTATACTGGTTTACATGTAAAAACCCCTATTAGGTTACATTATAGTGGTTTACATGTAAAAATCCTTATTAAGTTGCATTATACTGGTTTACATGTAAAAACCCCTATTAAGTTCCATTATACTGGTTTACATGTAAAAACCCCTATTAAGTTCCATTATACTGGTTTACATGTAAAAACCCTATTAAGTTGCATTATACTGGTTTACATGGAAAAATCCCTATTAAGTTGCATAATACTGGTTTACATGGAAAAATCCCCATTAAGTTGCATTATACTGGTTTACATGAAAAAAACCCTATTAAGTTGCATTATACTGGTTTACAAGGAAAAATCCCTATTAAGTTGCATTATACTGGTTTACATGGAAAAATCCCTATTAAGTTGCATAATACTGGTTTACATGGAAAAATCCCCATTAAGTTGCATTATACTGGTTTACATGTAAAAAACCCTATTAAGTTGCATTATACTGGTTTACATGGAAAAATCCCTATTAAGTTGCATTGTACTGGTTTACATGGAAAAAACCCTATTAAGTTGCATTATACTGGTTTACATGGAAAAAACCCTATTAAGTTGCATTATACTGGTTAACATGGAAAAAACCCTATTAAGTTGCATTATACTGGTTTACATGTAAAAACCCCTATTAAGTTGCATTATACTGGTTTACATGGAAAAATCCCCATTAAGTTGCATTATACTGGTTTACATGAAAAAAAACCCTATTAAGTTGCATTATACTGGTTTACATGAAAAAACCCTATTAAGTTGCATTATACTGGTTTACATGGAAAAATCCCTATTAAGTTGCATAATACTGGTTTACATGGAAAAATCCCCATTAAGTTGCATTATACTGGTTTACATGTAAAAAACCCTATTAAGTTGCATTATACTGGTTTACATGGAAAAATCCCTATTAAGTTGCATTGTACTGGTTTACATGGAAAAAACCCTATTAAGTTGCATTATACTGGTTTACATGGAAAAAACCCTATTAAGTTGCATTATACTGGTTTACATGGAAAAAACCCTATTAAGTTGCATTATACTGGTTTACATGTAAAAACCCCTATTAAGTTGCATTATACTGGTTTACATGGAAAAATCCCCATTAAGTTGCATTATACTGGTTTACATGAAAAAAACCCCTATTAAGTTGCATTATACTGGTTTACATGAAAAAACCCTATTAAGTTGCATTATACTGGTTTACATGGAAAAATCCCTATTAAGTTGCATTATACTGGTTTACATGGAAAAATCCCTATTAGGTTGCATGATTACACTGAAGTCCTTGAAACTGCTGAAGTCCTTGAAACTGCTGAAGTCCTTGAAACTGCTGAAGTCCTTGAAACTGTTGAAGTCCTTGAAACTCTTGAAATCTTGAAACTGCTGAAATCCTTGAAACTGTTGAATCCTTGAAACTGTTGAATCATTGAAACTGTAGAAATGTCTGAAAGAGCTGAAGTCCTATTAAAATGCATGGGCCTATTAAAATGCATTGCAGAATTCTCAATGCAGATTTTTGTCCGATTGCGGAAAAACCGGAAATCGCTGAAGTCCCAAAAGTAATAGCAATAATCTCCCAAACATGTGGAACGTTTTGATGTATAACTTGTGGAAATTGTTGAAAATGTGAAAGCTGTGAAACGTGTCAAAAAAAATGACGGAATAAAGAAATACAAAACCAATGGTTGACTGCGGAAGGTTCCGCAGTCAATCAATTAAATATATAGTCTATGCTAAAATAATATCTCCAATTAAAGCAAGTGTAAATTCCTGTATATTCTAGTGTAAAAATATATACGTACATTTGAATAAATAGCTCAGATCTGAACTGCTTGACGCTACGGCGACTCATGCGGAACATTGAGAATCTGTCGACAATCTGCTTTTAAGCTTCAGGGAAGTTCATTTCATGCTTAAGAAAAACTTTTTTATAGAGACGCACAAACACCATGGGATCAGGGTTCTGTTTGTGGCAGCTCAGATCCAGATTTAGTTTCCGTCTCTGGTCTCTCTCTTGTGTCTCTCTC